GTCCCAGAAGGGGGTCAGGGGGGGGAGGGGGGGGGGCAGGTCACCAATCCATCGCAGGGCTAACACATAGACGAAATGTATTGTAAGAACCTAATTCGGGGTCAGTGGATGGAACTCCTGCGAGAGCTCTGTCTCTCTGATCCCAGCGCTGTAAGGCTTACCTGTGATCAGACTGTCAGTAAACTTTCTGTTGATTTTAAACAGTCACTTCTCGTGCTTCCAACAAAAGAATCAGGTTAATTTCTAACAATGCACTCTTTCTACTGGGCCACCATTGAGAGCGTCATCACTGGCTGCATCACTGTGTGGTACGGAGCCTTGACTGCCTCCTGCAGAAGGACCCTGCAACGCATAGTCAAAACGGCCAGCAAATCATCGGTGCCTCTCTGCCTTCCCTCATGGACATCTTTAACACCCACCTCACCCGCAGAACCATCAGCATTGCTGATGACACCCCCCACCCCTTATATTCCCACTTCAGACTCCTGCCTTCAGGGAGAAGGTATCAGAGTCTTCAAGCCCACTCCACCAGGCTTACAAACAGCTTCATCTACCAGGCTGTGAGGATGCTGAACACTGTCCATTACCTCCCCCTCTTTACCCCCTGTCCCTGGACTGTGATCCACCGAAGAACATAAAGACTACCTCTGCTGTTTTGCACAAACCCAGTACATTCCCCCTTCTTGTTATATTACATGTAAATCTGCTGCTGAATGTTTTTACCATCATATCTGCTGCTGTTGGTCATTTGCACTACTGTCCATGTGCATCTTGTTAGGTATTTTTAGTCAGATAGATATTGGTTAGGTACTTGTTGTATTAGGAATGTTTTTAGTGTAGACAGGATGTCTAGCTCAGGCTGTTAAATGCTTATTCATTTTCATGAGTTACTCCAGGTTGTTTATGTTCAAGGATAATTAGATAGAAAGTTGATTACTGTATGACATGTTTAATCATAATCATAGTCATAATATCTTCTTATGCTTAATGTCAGGACATGTCACTGGATGTCCTACAGAATGTCTTAGATACACACCACACAATCAACGGACAATCACACATTGATTTTCATCATGTTTTGACTACCGCTCTGGTCAGCTGCAAAGCTGGCACCAGGAGACGTCACGGTTTGACGTTCCTGTGTAGAATGGGGTTAGCCCAAAGCAATATAATGTACAGGCCTGTTGGGTTCGGGGTCTTTTCATCCTTCAGCTGCCTGCGTGCATGTTGGAGGTGGAAGATACCTGAGCGTGTAATGTTAATTTTTACCTGTGTTCATCGAATAAATCAGCACTGTTTTGAAGCTACTTGGACTGCCTCGTCTCTCAGAGTTAGCATGGCTAAAAGAATCAGAATGCTTCAATCTCAATCTCACAACTATCTGACAATCTTCTTGTTATTATTTGCACTACTGTCACTAATTGTACATTATTTGAGTCATAGCCTATTAGGTTGTACTATTTAGTTTTATCCTAATCACTTTGACATAGTTTTCTTATTCTTTTTAGTCTATTTTTATTCTACTTTTATTCTATCTTAGTTTCCGTGGTGGCAATTTTTATAATAGCACCCTTTAGGTTCTTTAGCTGTGGCTTTCCTATGCAGTCATTTGTATGGTTGGGACCCCCAGACCATTTATTGCATGGTCGTAAACCTCTGTACGCCCTTGTGGTTGCCAAACCAGATGTGACCTGGGACCAAAGGGTTGGTATCCTGTTGTAAATTGTATTCTGTTTCCTTTATCTGTTTGAGCATCTGTCTTCTTTGTTGTATGCTGAGTATAAGAAGGGCTGTCAGATTCTGTTCATTGAGCTTCACTGTAACCGACTGGTTTAGCCACTCTGTTCAGAGAGCATTCCTTCCTGCAGGAATAAATATGTAATAACTTTCAGAATTGATGTTAAGTATTTATTTTACACTCACTGAGCTTTAAAAGATAATTTTTCCACAACAGTTTCCTAAATGGTATGGCGTTCAATACTAGGTGAGAGAGAAACGGTATTTTGATTCTCTGTATGTCCTGCACATATTGTGAATTGACAATAAAAATCTTTTTGATCTTGATCTTTAACTTAAACAGTAAACCAAACTTGTGTTTTCAGCTGTCAGTGCTTTTGTAGCTCCTGCCTGATTCTCTGTGGTTTGAGGTTTAGTCACTCCTGTGTTCCTGCTTGTACTTTCAGATATCAGCCTCAATTTACTGATAACTTTCAGCCCTATTGGAGCTGTGTTAAAATACTGTTGTAAGCCAAACCTTTCCTGCTGTTGCTTCTTCACATTACAAACTTTCCAGTGGCAAACTCACAGGAGTTATAAGAAATGCAACATGATTGTCAGCATTTTAGTGGAACTTCTTTAGCAGTGCTTTTCTTCAGTACAGGTCTATTCAACCAGATATGGATGTATTCTATGCTCTTTGGTCTAAATATTTGTTTTTAAATCTTAAATATTTCAAGAATGGTTGGCAGAAACAGAGGCAGTCACAGTGAGCTGAAAA